TTTTATATATATATATATATATATATATATATATATATATATATATATATATATATATATATATATATATATATATATATGTATTATTATATGTTATATATATTATAGATATTATTTTGCGGGCCGCGGGCTGCGGGTCAGTTTTTGCGGGCTGCGGGTCAGTTTTTGCGGGCTGCGGGTTAAAACAATTGCGGGCCGCGGGCCAAATTGCTGGCCTAACTAATTTTTTGTTGCATGTCATATATGGCATGCAACTTTCATTGGTGAGCGTACCGGTCACGTGGCAAATTCGTAAAATACGACAAATACCGAGTTTTTCCGACGAGCATTTCATCACTCATGCTCGAGGAAAGGCAAAGAAAAATGTTTGAGTGTTCGCGGAAAATTTACATAATTGAGCGCCTTTAAAAATAGATCAAGCCAAGGTAGATAAAGCTTTGCTGGTTTTAATTTTCCTTATATTCTGTTATTTGTTGTGATTCTGCAGGGCCGGTTGTATCAAAGGCGTTTAACTTAAACGGTGTTTAGCCGCTATCCAGCGTATAAATTTCTTATCCAGCGGATAGTTAAACGGCCGATAAAATTGCGTTGTAAGAAGCCCGTTTAGTACCGCGTTTAACTATCCGTAGGATAACCTTTAATTTAACCGGAGAAAACCGGATTTTCTTGAAATTTCCTACCTCTACGTCAGCTGTTGCTAGGCCTTTGTAAACTTTTGAAGCTTTATCTAACTTGTGAATTCCACTAAGCTTTTTATTTGGAGTTTGCTCGTCCATTCGTTGCTGCAAGTCTATATCAAACTTTTCATTTTCACATTGTGCTGAGTTTCTCATTCACTTAAATTCACTTACGGATATTTCTTTATGCGAAGAGTCGAAGGCAATAGCAAAAACTGTGAGTTGTATTTGGCTTTTGTCAGTTGATTCAGTTTTATACTGTTTGAAATTTGTTCCTCGACCTTGCACTTTTGTTCAAAACAATTTTAAGAACATTTTGTCCCAAGTTTTGATTGGCTGATCAAAGCGATTAACGCGAGCGAACAATTTTTTTTCGACTTTCGGCGTCTTGTTGTCTATTTTGTATACTTGTTGGCTTTCCAAAGTCATTGTTTGTTTTACAATAGCTAAAATTGGGAGTCTTACTGCTTGTTTTCAAACTATATAATAGAAGAAGGAGAAAAAGCCAGAGTATATATACTTAACATCTAAACATGACACTGGTGTGCGTAAATATAGCAAAGCCACGGAATTAATACAAGTGAGCAAGTGACCTCAGTGTACCTCAAGACCAAGCCAGTTAAAAGTGAGTTTTTCATGTTTATTGGATTTAAAAAGATAACTCCTCCACATGATTGTGCATTTTTATAACTATCCCATGCTTTTTCATCCGAAATAATCATTGTTTTATCTTCAAACTCCGAGTTTATCCGCCGTATAGCGATTTAAACGGTCTCAAGAGACCGTATAAGTTTTCACGGTGGATAGGCAAAATTTAACCGGTGGATAGCGCTAAACGGGCTTGATACAACGCGATTTCTCGAGCGTTTAAATTTTATCCGGCGGATAGCGAGTTAAACGGTGGTTAGCGAGTTAAACGCCTTTGATACAACCGGCCCCTGGAGCAGTTGTGCTCGCAATAAAATATTAATCATAAAATGAATGATTATTTATCAGTCGTTTTTAATATTTATATCGTGAAGCCTGGCTACGCTATCAAAATACTCATTTTTTTATATATGCTCAATATATACTATATTGTGTGCAAAACTTCAAAACTACAGTACATTTTGTAAATAACGTGAAATATATTAAAATATCAAACACAATTCTCATTATACTATTGAAATTTAATACAACGAAATAGTATTCTACGTCGATAATTTCAATCATAGTTTAATAATTATTTTCATTCTATAGTAATTCGCCGTTTCCATGTTTTTTTTTATACTTTCGATAAAGCTAAATTTGTAGGAAATAACATTATTTAGTTATAAAATAGTATAAAGGGAAATCTAACAGTCAATCGCTTTCGATAAAACCTTGACCTTGTTTATATCACCGTCGCTTGCAACTAACGATGAACAGTCGCTCATAAAAACATTGCCTATTCGCGTGAGAATCTTAAGTTTTCTTATTTTGACATAATAGCTATTTTTCAATAAATATATTGATA